GTGCCACATAGACACTAAAGCTTGACAAAGCATACACACACACAGTGAAAATTTAAAAACCTCTCATATATGAATATTGGTACAAAATCCATAAAATCATAATAAACAGAAGAAGGCAGATTTATATTTTAAAAATGAATACATGACAGGGCTGGGGATTTAGCTCAGTGGCACCGCGCCTGCCTCACAAGCACAAGGTCCTGAATTAAATCCCTGGTGCAAAAAATCCCAAAACATGACAGCAAATAGGGATATGTTCCAGAAATATAGATTTAATATTTTAAAAACTACTGAAATAATTGAATGAACTAGTAGTAAGGGAGATGAAAAATCATATCAATAATTCCTAGACTCTTTAAAAATGCATATGGCCCAGATTGTAAATCTTATTTAATAGGAATAGATGGATATTGCTTAATGTGATTGTATGCACACGTGAGATATAAACACATAGGAGGAAGGAATGAGCCCTGTTCTCTTAATTCTTTAACCCTGCTTTAGGAGTACAAACCAACACAAATTTTGAAAAGTGAACTTATAACAGAGGAACTGGAGCTCAGTGGTGGAGGAGCATCTGCCTAGTTTGAGCAAGGTCCTGGGTCCATCCCCAGACCTCCCCAAAAAGGAAAATTTATCAACATTTGATAAGAGTAAGATAAACCATTTGGAAGGGAAATAAGACAAGATTGCTAGTTGCAAAAATTGGTAAGAATAGCTTGGTGTGTTGGTAGATGCCTATAATCCCAGCACTTGGGAGGCTGAGGCAGGAGAATCACTGTGAGTGTGAGGCCAGCCTGGGCTACATAGTGAGTTCAGAGCCAGTCTGAACTACAAAGAGAAAACCTGCCTAAGAAAGAAAGAAAGAGGGCCGGGGATTTAACTCAGTGGTTCTGGCACCCGCTTTGCAAGCACAGGGACGGGAGTTCCATACCGAGTACCAAAAAAAAAAAAAAAAAGCTAGAAGGAATAATTTTTTAAACTCCTAAGATGACCTGTAATAAATATTTCACACGGAAGTGTATAGCATTTCTACACATACACGTTAGCCTTAGCCTCTTTTATAACATAATGGAAGAGAATAAATATCAGTAAGAGTACTCAAAGGAACTAGAGCTCAGTCTAAGCAGAAGTGGGGAGAAGCAGCCATGTCACTGCTGGTCAGTGCTGGTTCCCAGCACATGGGACAGTGGCTGACACAGTAGCAAATGTCTGTTGAGTGACGGAACTGGCTCACAGAACCATGACACAGTTCACTGTGGTAATAGTGATCACCCCGATGTCCAGCGTGCCCAGGCGAGGACAGTGTCCACATCTTTTGCCAGAAGCCTAACAGGACTGATCCTGGAGCAGGTTCTGAATGTGCTTGAGAAGGGCTGCAGGGCGCTGGGTTCGGCATAGGGGTGTTCTATCCACTTGCTCGAAGTGTTGCTCTGTTCCTCTCTGTCCTTGTCGATCGTCTGTTGGTGCAAATTATTATTGAAAGTTGCATATTGAAATCTTGTACTATTAGGATGTTACTATTCTTCCCTTCAATTCTGCTCACATTTGCTTCACATATTTGGGTCTTCTGCTCTTAGACACATATTTATAATTGTTCTGTCTTCTTGGTGAATGTACCTTTTAGCATTGCATAAAGCCCTTCATCTCTTGTGGCAGCTGTTGACTATAACTATCATGATCCCTGACTGTACTTGTGTGCTGTTGTAAAGGAATTCAAGACCAGGTCATTTATAATGAACAGAAATTCATTTGGCTCACAGTTCTGGAGGCTGGGAAGTCCAGGAGCAAGTGGTTATATCTGTTAAGGTGTCATCACAAGGAAGAAGGTGTCACATGACGGGAGAGGGCGTCACATGACAGCAGAGGGCATCACATGATGGGAGGGCATATGTGTGAGAGGAAAGGGCCACTCTTGAGGTCATTACTCGCTCCCATGACAATGACATTAATCCATTCCTGAGGCAGAGCCTGTGTGATCTAATGTGTTCTAAAGGTCTCACCTCAGAAGTTTCCAACACAGGAACTTTGGGGGACACGTTTGAACCAGACCGGTTTCTGTGTGCATGGGGTATCTTCTCCCACCCTCCCACTCACAGTCTGAGTGTGTCTTTATATCTAAGGTGAACCCCTTATGAACAGCCTCCCGTTACTTTCTTTTTCAGCACTGGGGTTGAACCTAGGGCCTTCACATTGAACTACATTCCCAGCCCTTTTTTATTTTTTAGTTTGAGACATGGTTTTGCTAAACTGCCCAGGTTAGATTCACACTTGTGAACTTCCTGCCTCAGCCTCCTAGAGTGCTGGGATTATAGATATATACCACTATGCCTGACTAAAGTTGCATCTTTCCACACCCTTTACCCATGATAACTCAGTCATCACCATGACCCTGTGCAGATAGTACTATTACTATTTCCAGTTTTAGACAAGGAAACTGAGACACCGGAAAGATAGGTGACTTATCCTAGATCCTGTGGGGCTGAAATCTGAACCAGGTGTGAGACACAATTTATACCCTTGAATCCCTCCTACTATGTAGTTAAAATGGATTTTTGAATCTAGAGAAGGAGGACAGGTAAATGGATTATTTTTAAATGAGTAGGACAACTGTTGATGGAAACAGTAGAGCTGGTGCCACTGCAATCCTTGCACCAATATAAATTCTGGATGCAGCAAGGCTTAAAAATAAGAAAACTAGGGCTGGGGATTGGACTCAGTGGTTCTGCCACCTGCCTCACAAACACAAAGGCCCAAATTCTATCCCTGACATCCCCCCAATAAAAATTAAAAAATAAAACTTGTGGCAAATATGAATAGATGTTTTACATTCCTCAAGTGAGAAAGATTTTCTTGTGTGGTTGGTTTTTGAGGCAGGGTCTTGCTATTTAGTCAGCCTGGTGGCCTTAAACTTGCTGAGTAGCCCAGACTGCCTTGAGCTCGGGAGTCTCCTGCCTTAGCCTCCTGAGTGCTGGGATTACAAATATTTGCCATCACATCTGGCTGTGAGAAAGATTTTTAAAAGTTATCCAAACACTCAGAAGTCACACAGGAGGAGACTGATACTTTTGACTACAGAAAGAAAAAGATGAGTGATACAAAGTTAATTGAATCAATTTAGAAAAATCTTTAAGATCAGTAAGATAAATTAGAAAGGACATAAACAAACAGTTCACAAAATATAAATCAATGCTAAGGCCAGTTGATCTGAAATCGTGAAAGTACGCCTGCTTGTTCTGAAAAATACTCAGAGATGGTTATTATCTTTTAACTTACATGTTGTTTAAAAGTTGATAATGCGCAGTGTTACCAAGGGTGGATAGAATCAGGCTCTACATTGCTGAGAGAGTGAAAATTGCTGCATCCTTTGTGGAGGTCAACCTGGCAATATCAATGAGAAGTTTAGACCCACGTCACCTTTGACCTGGGAATTTATCCTGCAGCCGATTTCACAGATGTTTGTTGCAGCTTTCTCTAAAAGCAGAGGAACATCCTGAAATCCATCATCGGTTCCATGAAACACCAAGAACTGTTTAAAGAATGGGACCTATATTGCATGCTTAGATGTGTGTATATTAGTGGGCAGTACAAAGAGGGATTACTGAGGGGCTGGGGATTTAGCTCATTGGTGCCACCACCTGCCTCACAAGCGCAAGGTCATGAGTTTGAGCCCCGGTACCCCCCCGCAACAACAACAACAAAAACATAACCAACCTTTGAAAAAAAAAAAAGATGGAGTACTGAGAATAGGTTCCCATTTGCTTTAAAATAAAGATCAGGCACAGATGTATATTTGCCCACATTTGGGGGCAACTTGAAGAAAACTTAAACAGGACACTTGGCATTTTTTATGTTTTGGAGTGGGACGGAGTTCTGGGATGGCAAGGATATATGCTGAGTTCTATTTTCATTATATTTTATTTTATTTGTATTTTACTTTGAGCGCCCACCCCCGCCCCGGCTTGTCATTTTCAGAAGTAAGAATATTCAGATTAAATCAACTACAAAGGGAGAATACTAGTAAAAATGCTTCGGCCTGCACGTCTTTGATGATTGATTGATTGATTGATTGATGATTAATTGATGCTGGGATGGAACTCCAGGGCTGTGCCCATGCTGGGCAACTGAGCTGCATGCCAGCCTTGAACTTCCTTTTTACCTTTCTAAGTGGGTTCATTTCTTCCTGCATTGTCAGTTTTAGGACACTGCTAATCTTCATTTTGTCTATGAGGAGAACGAGAACTAGAAAGGCATCCGTAAGCTGCCCAGCTGGCTAGTCTTTCTGCAGATATTGGATGCCTAAACATTGCTTTCAGAAAGGGACTCAGGACCCCTGCATGTGTATTAGAGAACTGTCATCCTTGTACTTCTCTGTTCTTTCTCAGCATTTGCATTCAGTATGACTTCCTGTCCACCTGTGTGAGGAACTTGCTAAAGTACAGATTCCTGGGCACCTTCCTGACCCTTCAATGGGCCAGGGTAGAGCCCATCACCCTGCATTTTAGCGAGCTCTAGCTCAGATGACTCTGAAGGAGATGATGCTGTGGCCCCTGTGACCTCTTCTTGGTTCAGCCCTGCTGGCTCTGTCTGTGTATCTAGGCTAAAGCCTCCCACCCCAGTGAGGAAAAGTGGGGTGCTCTGGCTCACCTGGGCAAGGGACGGAGCTGGTGCTTGCACTCCCAGTGCAGTCAGTGTTCCATCCTTGGTTCTCCTCGCCCTTGCCCCCTTGGGCCTCTGCTCAGCTGGAATGAGTGGCAGCTCCTTAGCTGACTCGTGCCAGGTGGGCACTCGCTGGATTTGGAAGTGGAGGGAGCCTGGAGGTCATGGATTCCCCTCACGCATCTGAGCTCCCTGCAGCAGGCCTTCTGGGAAGATGCTGACAAGCATGTCGGGCCTGGGAGGGTTCTGGCCTTCTTAGACTTGGGGAGGAGCTGCATGGAAGCCAGGGAGGGATGGGATCCATGCCTGCCTGCCATGACTGTTCCATTGTCCCCATGCCATAGAGCCTTGGAGGAGCCACTTCGTGGTCACTACTGGGAGGCTTGGAGAGCCTCCCCCTGGAGACCGATCAAGAGAAGGAAGGCCAGGAACAGCCAGTCGGCCAAACCCCCAGCTTCACCTGCTGCTCCAGGTAGGCGGCCCCCCATCATGCCACCCAGCCCAACTGAGCCCAGCACCAGCTCCTTCCTCCAGCTTGGGAACTGAAGTTGTTCCCATGAACTGCCCATGGCCTGTGGCTCTTCATGTGGGCAAAGGATCTCTGTGGCCCCTCTAACCCCACACCGTGACAGAAGGGAGCAGGAAGGACCTGGCCCTTCTCCTTTGGGCATGTTCCATGTAACGCTGGCATCTGAGGCCTGGGAAGGGGCTCTGGCTTTGGTTAGGATGCCCGTGGCCCCTCACCGGTGCTCCCTGCTCAGCTCCTAGCAGGGGTCCCCTGTGTGGTGCTTGTCCAGTCACCCTGGCATGGAGCAGATCCAGGACCCAGTCAGACACTGTTCTTCCATGAGTTTCCTGACTCTTGACACATTTTCCTTGGAAAGGATTAAGACAGATGGTATCTTCATAAACTGTTGGAGCTGGAAGGGATCTTGGTGATATAATCCACCCGCAATCCCTCTTTACTTCTCAAGCATTACTTATATCAATAATGTAGTTCCAAATGTGTTGTCATTGAACATCTCAGAGAGATCAGGTGTAATCTTGTCAAAATAGCACAGGAAGCCTTTGTCTTCAGAGAGCCCTTCCGGGGGCCAGCCTCCTCCTCTCTGCCTGGCCTCAACCCCACCCCTGCCCCAGGCTCCTTTTCCTTTGGGTCCGCCTCCCCTTCACCTCCAGCAGCTCATACCCCTCTGCCAAAGTGACTGGCACTCAAAGCTGGAAGGTGTTTGAGCCAGGGTAGCGTCAAAGTGAGGTTTTCTTTCCCAGGTATGTAAGTGAATATGTGAATGAATAAATCTTTGAGAAAAGACTGCGTAGTCCAGGGGGGTTATCAGTGGAAGCTGTAACTGTAAGGCTTGAGAGTGTCTGAAAGCTCTCTTAAAAGAAAGAAGTTGTGCTGTAAGGGCTGTGGGCCAGGAACATTGTGAGTGTTGCTATTATAGATAAAAGTACTCTTAGCCATGCGCAGAGCAAAGTTCCGTTCATGTCTCCCCTCTCATTTCCTGGCCCTGTCTTGGGACAGCAAGGAGCCTGGGGGACTTTGATCTCCCCGCTGTGCTCATTGCCCGGCCCCGAGCCAGGCCCTAGTGCCCCCAGTCTAGATGGCCTCAAGAAGCAACACTGAACAGTGGTTGAAAGCTCAGGCCTCAGACCTTTGCCAGCTTTGCCATCTCTACATACCTCAGTCTCTTTATCTATAAAATGGGGATAACAGTACCCTCGTGTCATTGTGAGGATTCCTAAGTTGATATCTGCAAAGTACTTGACTCATATCGAGCAGCCAGTAAGCACTTCACCTGCTAGCTCTGACCACTACAGAGGTCTGTTCTCTCCTAGTTAACCCCTGCTGCCTGATTAGCTTCCCTAAAGCTCAGTGTAGCCATCATATTCCCTTACTCTATAATCACCATGGCTGCCTATGACCCGTTTAATAAATTATGTCCTGACCTGCCCTCTAAGAGCCGTGAAGGTAGGAACTGGATGTATGTCATTTGCCTTGCACAGAACAAGGAAGGAATTAATAATATTTACAGAGAAAGTTTCCACCCACGTGGTGGAGTGAACTGAGTTCCTAAAGCATGGAAGTGCAGTGACCTGTGGCCCCACAGCTTCAGATTTGACCCACGCTTCTCTGCCTCCCTGACCATAGCCAGTCCTGAGCACACCTGGGCACAGGGTGCTGGATCCACTGGGACTGCAGATACAGCAAGCCCGGCCAGCCCTGTGCACGTCACAGTGCTGAGAGGACACGTGACCGTTGCCCAGAACAGGCAGGGACCGTAGCACTCTGAGGAGTTCAGGCCAGTGGCAGACATGAAGTCATTGTCCTCATTCATCTCTGGGAGGTGGCCAGGGCTTGGGCTCCTACATCTTCAGGGGACGGCCTGAGGATGGCAGAGACCACCCGAGGTCAGTACCTTGGACAGAGACGTAGGCCCGCCTCTCCCGCTAGTGGTTTGGCGAGGGAGGGAGGGAGGAAGGAAGAGTCCAAATCTCCCCAGATTCCTGGCGAGGGTGAGAGGTACAGGAGGGAGCAGCATAGTTCTGTCAGGTTTTTTCAGAGATTTTTTTCCCCTGGGAGGCTTGGAGCCGCCAATCCTGGAAGCTGGGAGGGGAGCCCCAGAGAGGGAGCAAAGCAGCCCCTGCTGGCTCCTGTGGGGCCATGTTTTCCTCCTATTTACTCAATAAATGGATGAGTTTGTTGGGATCCCAGGTACTGTGCTAGGCACCAGGTGTTCAGCAAGTAAAAGAGGCGGGGACCCTGCTCCACTGGTTCCTTTGCTCACTGGGATTGGGGGAGCAGATAAGGAGCAGCATAAGAGTGGATGGAATATGCTAGAAAGAGGGCGACGCAATAGGAAACAAGAAAGAGAGAAAGAAATGAGACTCCGGAGTGCAACCAGCAGGCTGCTGGGACAGACTTCACCAAAAATATGACATTTGAGACACGAACTGCTCCCCTCAAGAATCCTGACAGGCCTCAGGACTCAGAATCAAGGACAGGTGGCTTTCATGAGCTCTTAGGACAATCAGCAAGATCTAGAAGCCGTGGTTCCAGTCCAGACAGTGCTGTGCCCTTTCTCTAAAACCTTCCATAGCTCCCCACTGTCCACACCACCAAGTGAAAATTATTCAGCCTGATTCAGGGCCTGGCGATCTGACCCCGACCTGCCTGTGAGCTCAGCAGACCCTCTCGCTGCACCTTTCCAGCCAGGCCAGTCTGCCTGTTGTTTCTGCTGCTCGCCTCCACCTCTCTTTTCCCCACTGATTTCTGCCAGTGGCTGTGTCTCTGTTTCAGACTTAGGCATTCGTTTCACGGTCTGATCTCTGCCTGGCTGGAATTGCCCTGGGCAGAGAGCTTAGGCTGTCTTGTCTTCAGGGGGGTGGAGGGCTTAGCAAATGTGGGGCAGATAGTGTCCATGTCCGAAGGCCCCTCACACTGGACAAGCAGGTGAGCCTTTGACCCGCACAGAAAACAATAGCAGAAGTGGGAGGTAGCGGTGGGCAGGAGAGGAGCGGGGACATGAACGTGGAGGGGAGATAGAAACCCTCACCATACTGTTTCCAGACAGGCAAACTGTCCTCAGGAGAAGGGTGTCTGTCTCCTTCCGAGAATCAGCTGCTACTTCCTCCTGTCAGGCCACTGCTTCCTTGAATCTAACTAGAGAACCTCTAGAACAGCCAGGGCTCACCTTCTCTGGCTCCATCCACTGGATCAAAGTGGCTTTCCTGATCCCACACAAGGGGCAGCAGTGAGTCCAGAAGGAGGGTGGCCTCTGATCTGGGAGCTTGTGCTCTAGTTGATGAGGCCAGCAAACCCCAGAGTCCTACAGAGACTGTCCAGGGCCAAGGTATGGAGGTCACCACAAATCCTGGAAGTTGTGCCCACCCTGCTCCTCAGCACCTGGCTGTGCCTCCCCCAGGACTGACCTTCACCACAAGTGACCCTGTCACAAGCCCCTATCACGGCTACACATGATTCCAGGCCTCTTGTGAGCTGGGCTCTGGAGTCCCCTCGACCCTGTGAGGCCACATCATCCAGGCCCGCTGCCTCTGCCATCTGGTTCCCACCCGTGGCTGGGGCAGCTGCACTCAGAGAGCCCCTAAGGCAGCCAACTCGGCTCCTGCCCGATTCAAACAGATGCGGCCAGAGCCCAGGGACAGGCTCATCCTGGCCACCCTCCTGTGTCTGAGTGGGGTGGAAACACCATGCACAGCAAAGCCTGCACACAGTCCAAGGCCACGACTGAACCCGGCTGCTGTGCACCCCGTGCTGTTCCCCCAGGACTGTCCCTCCCCTCCCTCCATGTCCTCAGCTTGGGAAAGTGGCCACACTGTCTAAATCTTCAGTGGCAGCAGTCCCCATGTCAGAGGCATGGTGAGGGTTAAAAAACCCTGCACTTCCAGGGTCTGAGCTAGACAGTAAATAAACCTGCAGTTAATAGAAGCAGAGCCTCCCGTGTTTCCAGTGCTCCCTTGGCTTCTCCCCAGGTCCGAGGCGAGGTCTTCTCTGGGCTCCCAGCACCCTTGAACTTCTGCAGTCCTGTCACAGCCCTTGTGGGGTCTCTGTGTCCCCGGAACCTGGGCTGGGGCCCATGAAGCCCACCCTCTGGAGTTTGAGGCTCGCTGCTCGAAAGTTCCCAAGTACCTCTGATTCTTTCTCCTATAATCCAACCCCAAAGTGGAGAGGAGTAAGGAGCCCTGGGCCAGATCCCTACTGTGCTGAAGGTTTTCAAGAGGCCCCTGCTGTGCCCGCAGGTGGGGCTCCCCCGAAGACACCCTAGGTGCCCCTCAGCTGGCCCAAGAGGACACTGCTCTCGCCTGGCCTGGGCCTGCTCCATCCCAGTGCCTGGTGTATCCCCCTGGGGTGTCCAGCAGTACTCAGAGTGCACCTCTGGAACACCAGGGCTGAGGTAGACCCTGGAGACCACTGACTGCACACATGCAGGCTCACACACACACACACACACACACACACACACGTCCTCTGAAGCACATGAATGTGCAGACACACGAACGCATAGATCCAACTCAGCACCCACATACACTCAACATATGTACACACTAACACAGACACAAGCACCCAAGACCCAGATTGTATTACACATCCAATCCCAAGCACACCTGACACTCTCCAAAACACACACAGACAACCTGTGAGTAGGTGAAAAAATAAGCTCATTGACACACACAGCGAAAGACACACAGGCACGCAGAGACCCACTGTGTTGCTGTCCTGGGGCAGCAGTGATGAAGGGCCCACACCGGAGATGTTTCTCCTCTCACTGCCGGGACGCTGGAAGCCTGAGGTCAAGATGTCGGCAGGACCACAACCTCCCATGCGCTCCAGGCCTCCCCTGCCATCCATGTGCTGCTCAGCTCGAAGCTGCATCACTCCGGGCTCTGCCTCTGTGGCCCTCCTGCAAGGGCACCTATCTTGGGTCTAGCAGCCACCCCAACCTCCTGTGA